CCGCTGCTATAAACGGCAGAGTGAAAGCCGAGGCTTCATTATAAGATCTGCATTCCACGGTGACAGCTGATTTGACTGCGGCACCCTTCGGCGTGCCATCGCATCCGACAGTCACCTCGGATCGGGCTGCCGCGGGGCGCGACCCCGTCCGGGCCTCGCCGTTCTGTTCGACAGATCAAGGAGCGGCACGCTGCCTTGCTTTTCTTTCCGATTCCCGAGCAACATCAGATCCAAGCTGCAAAGAGTGTGTTTACTACGGCTTCCTCGAGGCCAGGTGTGAGGGGGAACACAAACACACCTCAGGTAGATCTCTCCCTCAGGGCTGCCTTCGTCTTTTGTTGCTTGATTTCAACCTCTTCAATGTGACTCAAAACTTCCTCAGGGAGACTTTTTTTCCCCCTGCCAGCAACAGAAAGCAGCTCCCCTCGGCGCTGCTGCCCTCCGTCCACCTCAGCAGAGCAGGCAGCTATTTGTTTTAGCAGCCGAAGAATGTGTCCATTGTCTGTCCGCAGCCATCCTGAACTGACTGCTATAAATGCGTCTTTTGTCCGCCGTCCGAGTGCAGACAGAACTTATCCTGCGCCGGGTGGCTGAGTCCGTGATGGGGTTTCAGGGTGGAGAGAGAGGGTGAGGTGGGGGGAGGATGTAAGAGGGGACACCAGGGGAACCGGAGGATATTTAGTTTTGCAGACAGGTGCATTCATCTTCCCCCTGCGCTCTGGGACAACGTGGGCCTTATCGGAGAACCTGAGGCTCCCTGTTGAATGGACTGTGTGATTAATGCTGCAGCTGACGGTGTGCTGTGGAGGCTAATCATCTCCTCCCGGGACTGAAGCGACACTGATTTGATGTTATTTCCGCGGTTATCGTAATTTTCTGCATTCTGGTTCGTGGCAGATTCCGAGTCCTACTGCGAGCCGCGTTCTGTTCAACAAAGGCCGACTGAATATTACCGCAGCTCCGTGAATGTGATTTCCTTTTTGTTCACACACTCTGCACTCCTCGTTAACCCTGTTTGAAAGACACGCTGTCTTTGAAATATTGCAGAATCACACCATCTATCAGATCCAGAAACTGTAAAAACAGAAAGAATTTTCACTTTTTTAGTTTTCCGATGGTTCCAGTTAAGTCCGACTTCAGGTTTCGACAGGAAAATGAGCCAAATCTGAGCTGAAAATTGGTATATTTAATCAAAATCACTTGATTCGACCGGTCTCAATTTGAAATCTGCCAAAAATAAACCGCTTGGTCAAAGCAGTTTATGTAAAAAACGTGAAAAATCTGTGTTTGAAGCAAGAAGAACTGATCTCATCTTTAAAAGGAAGTCGCATTAAAAAAAATGGCCAAATCTAAGCTTAAAATGCTGATATTTTATCCAATTCATTTTATTCTACATTTAAAAATTCTAGTGAGGCACGATATTAAAATTTCTGGCTGATATCCGATATTAAGATTTCTGATATCGCCGATAACCGATAATACCAATGTCGATATACAATGTTTGTTCACACCGTAAAATGAGTATATGTAAACACTGTGAGAACGTGAAAACTATTCAAAAGAAGCCCAAATTAGACCACATAGTCTTCTTTATTACTAAACAAAAGTAAAACATATTTAAACATATTTAATGTTGAAGTCCAGGACCATTTAAGTAAAAACATCTGTGAAGTAGCAGCAATATCAAATGTATAGACGAAGGCGCTACTGTTAGACAATCATCGGCTAAATTTGTTCATCGGACCGATACATCGGAAAAAACACTAATATTGGCCGATACTGATGTGGTCGCCGACATATCATGCATCCCAAAAGATTTCACCTAAAATTTATTCACCAGATTCTGTGTAACCATGAAGCCAGTAGTGAAGTCTCTTGTGCATTCACTGAATTTGGGAAAAAATGCTTTTATTATTTGTGCTGCACACACCTGAAACATTTTCTGACACTAAATACAACTGTAGGTAAATGTCATGTTGGATTGTACAGCACTGAAAATGAAGGTATTTCCCCAATTGTTCCTCAAGATAGAAACTTTTGGGGGCTTTCGACTGATCTGCAGGCAGTGTACGCAGAGCAATACGTATAAAAACAAACAAAAAATTAACTAACTTGTTGTAAAATGTCTATAGTATGTAGAGGCACGCTTTATTTTATCACCTGTGCACTGGGAAAAAAGTTGTACATCTCGAGTTTAGGTTTTTAAAATAGTTCTAAAATAAATAATCAAAGAAATTCAACTTTCATTTTCATGTTTTTTAATGCTTTCTGTTATTCTGTTTCTGAGTTCTCTCGCCTCCACAGAGGTTCAGGACTTTATATTACATTAAAAAAATAAACCAACGGTGAGCAAAAACGTCACCGGGGCAAAACATGTCCAGAAACTGCTTGTTGAAGTTAATATTTTATCTCATCTTGCACAGTTTGTGAAACATGTCAGGCTGGAAACAAGGCAAAAGTGGAAAGTCTGAACAGCAAAAAAAATATCCCACAGTCAGTGGTATTGATTAGAAAACAACCCCCAGCGGACACATTAGCATTATTTAGCGCTCCGGGGCAGCAGGAGTCGTTCCTCTGTGGTATCAGGGTTATGATCCATATATTTCACAGTTTTTGTGTCAGTGGTTCACCTCGTGCCGACTGGGTTTATGTCACCGTGTGGCACCAAGAAATACGACTCTATAAAAGTGTGTCCTTAATGCTGGGAACTCTGTTATTCACTGCATCTTTCCCTGAAGAAACCTCACCTCCAGTTCGGGTTATAATCTCCATTCAGGCAGTGTTTCACCTCTCAGCTTTGCTTTTTGTCATCTCAGCATCACCATCTACGTTATTGCTTTGTTTCGGCAGCAAACCGTTGGGTTCTCGAGCACCTTGGCTGCGACGCTCGACGTTTCCTCGCTGCCTGGAATTAAAAGCTTTGATCCTTTACTTACCAGCAATATGCCCATTGTCGTGTTGTGTGTCTGTGTGTGTCAAGGCGCTTCTTTGATCCTAGTTGTACGCCGTGTGTGTGTGTGCAATAGGGTGTGTGTTCGCTCCTCTCGTTGCAAACTATCTCCACTTCTGTGGTCTGTAAATGAAACCCGAGCTCACACTTTAGGATGAGAGGGAGAGAGAGAGAGAAAAGTGGGGATTCAGACATCTGGCTGCAGTTTTACGTTCGAGGACATGTGTGAGGAGGCGGATGAGACATAAACGTTCGCTATATGATGTGAAAAGTGCAGTTTATTCATTTGTTCTGCCGCCCACCTCCTCGGGGTCGCGGGGTCGCCGCTGCCGGCCCTGCGGAGGACTGAGCATGCTCAGAGCGAAGGCAGCGTGGTAAACACTGCCCCGCTAACACCCTCATGTATTTATATTAGCGGTGGAGGCAGCAGGGCAGGTCTCCGGTCACTGTTTCGTCTGCGTTTTTTTTTTTTTTGTGCTTATGTTTCATTGGTGAAGGCGCTGCTGCCTGCACCTCGCGGCTTCTGGTAAAAATAATTCGTGGCAATCCTCAGAAAACATACGTCGGTATTTCGAGCGCTGGTTTATTTTTGCACGTCGTGTCTCGTCATTAAAAAAAAATGAACAAAAGTTGTTGTATTAGTAACAGCTTTTGGTGTAACGCCTCGCATTTTTCCTCAACGTGGGCTCATTTCTCAACATAAAGTCGTGCACCTCTTTGGAAACAGAACAACCACGAAGAAGGAGAGAACTCAGAACTGTCTTCTGTGCACACAGTTAGAATGACATAAATACATATTATAGAGGAACGACTCCTGCCTGCTGCCCCGGAGCGCTAAATAATGCTAATGTGTCCGCTGGGGGTTGTTTTCTAATCAATACCACTGACTGTGGATATTTTTTTTGCTGCTTAGACTTTTCACTTTTCTCTCATTTTTAGCCTGACGTGTTTCAAAAAGTGTGCAAGATGAGATAAAACTCCAACAAGCAGTTTTGGGGCCTTTCTTTCCTCCCATCACGTTTTTCCCTCACTGTGGGTTCGTTTTACCTGCACCGCTATGGAAACAGGAGGAGAGAGAAATGTCTTCCGTGAAGTATGTCATCAGTGTCACATAGAGACAAAAAGGACATGAAAAGATGCAAAAAATCTGCAAAAATAGACAAAAAGAAAAAAGGTGCAAACAGACACAAAACAGATAAAATGCAAAAATGGCGCAAAAGAAATCACACAAAGACAAAAGACGACGCTAAAAGGCAAATAAGATGAAATGACACACAGACACAAAATGATAGATGCAAAAAGGACACAAAAGTCACAATAGAAGCGAAAATGACACAAAAATACGCAGAAGTGACCGAAAAAATGACACAAAAGACACAAAAAGATGCAAAAATTACATAAATATTCAAAAACAACAGGCAACAATGACAAAAATAGACGTGAAAATGCCAAAAAGAAACAAAAAGATGTCGTCAAAACTCAAAAATTGTCATAAATATATGTCAATATAAAGCCCTGTACGTCGATGGAAACATTCGAATTTGTGATGATTAGTTCTGGTTTTACGGAAAAACTTTCAAAGAAATAGTTTCTTTTTGGTACAATTTTAAATTAGCCATTTAAAATAAAGTGATTTTGATGGAATATCATGAAGAAGTTTTATTTTTGCACATTTTTAAATGACACATGTTGTATAAAGTGATCTTGATTGAACATCATGATTCTTGGTTTTGGTTGGAGTTTCCTGACACTTCCTTCTGTTTTAATGTGTTTCTAGCTCTGACATATGGTGTAATATTGGTGATTTTTATACCTTTCAAACCTGTCAGCAGGTTTTGTCGTTCTGAGGGTTAAAAAAAACCCAACTTTCCTCAAGAACAAAAAAAACCCCCAAAACAATCTTCTTGTGTGAACTGAGTCACCTCTTCACATGATTTGATATTTCTGCTGCATCTAATGAGACGTGGTGTTATTTACAGACTATCTTGGGCTCTGCTTGAGATCTGTACTCTTGTTAACGTTCGCACTTTTCATCTGCTTTCAAACTCACCGTGTTGAAGTTGGGGAAGAGGCTGAGGGGGGAGGATCCATTGAGTCTGAAGGGCAGGAGGTGTTTGAGGTCGAGCTGAGGCTGCAGAGGCCGTCCTGGGACGGGGAGGGAGGCCAGGAGGGGGCTGCCCTGGGCGGATGTACCTGCAGACACCAGAGATGGATGTTAGAAGTTAGGAGGCATTAGGAAGCGCTCAGGCTGCGGCGCTGATGGCCTCCAGGAGGTCAAGTGCAGCTCAGGGGAGAATGACTTTGATTTATTTGATACCAGAGGCAGCGTTGCACCTCCAGCTGACACCAGAACACACTGTGTTACCCACATATGTGTGTCTAGGCTCCAGTGTGTGTGTCCATGTGCTTGTACTCCTGTACTTCCAAAAATCATATGAAAACTGTACAAAGCTGGCTGCAAGGGTGCCAGAAAAATATATTTAAGAAACATAATAAATGCGTAAATAGTGCAATAAATAACCATGAAAATAGCAAGAAATATCCGGAATATACTGATGTTTTCAGCAGATTTAAGTACAATAAAACTGTGAAAATGTCTGACTGTTTGATAAGAGGCTCAAAGGAGAGACTCAAACTATTAATGTTCGTTTCCTGTAAATTCCCCCCAGATTATAATGCAGTTAAAAAACAAGTGTAATTTTATGCTCAAACATTTTAAAAGAACAAATTATTATAAAAAAAAAATACTCATTTTTGAAGTTTTGGTCTTTTTTTATTAACAGTTAACATTGTTCTGTGATTTTACCAGATATTATCTGTAGTTTGACAAAACCGTAATGTTTAAAAATGGTAAGAATTGTGAAAATAATAGCAAACATCTATAAAATAATAGGTTTTTTGCTGACTTTAATTGTGTAAAAATGGTGTAATTTACCATCAAACTTTGTAAAAGAACAAATTACCATTTGTAAAAATACAGATTTCTTTTTTCTTTCTTTCTTTCTTTCTTTCTTTTTTTTTTTACAGTTTTGGACTCTTCTTAAAAAATATTTACAGTCAACATGTTCATACATTTTTTGGGTGATATTAATAGATATGATGTGTAACCTAAAACAGGGAAAATGGCTTAAAGATTATTTACAATTTTTTAATCCTTAATATACATCATTTTTCTTGCAAATATCAGCAACTATTTTGAAAATAACACATTTTTCTGATTCCATTACAGTAAAAATACTTAATTCATAATAATATTTTATGGTCAAACATTGTAAAAGAACAAATTTAAAAAAAATAATTTACAGTTCAAATGAAACTGTGAAATAAAAGGTGTTTTTTTTTGCATGTATCTGGGACAACAGAGTGTTTAAAGAGGTATTTTTGATTTCATGCAGACAATAGAAGGTCACGTGTGTTCTGGGGGGGGGGATGGGCACTTCTACCCCATCACCCCAATTGCCCACTCTTATCCCCCCAAGGACGCGCACCTGCCCCTCATGTACATAGACACACATAAACACATCATTTAATTACTGATTTATTGGCTGAGGAAAGGTGGGTGCATGAAGGGGAAGATGGGAGATATCGGATTTCAAATGGACCAGGGATGAAGAGATTTCTAATTTTCCGCCTGGCTGCGTTTCAGTGGACCGGTGCTCTCAGCGGTGTGCAGGCACTTATCCCAGCACCAGGATCAATCATCGGTGTCAGCCGTGGGTCACCGTGGCCACCCCAAAGTCTGCCTATCAACCCCCTGCAACACACACTGCGTGATAACACTCACAACAGAAAGAAAAAGCAATCACTGTCCACACAATGATACCAGCCTACCGCCATAAAAGAGAACGCTTTCAATGCATACACTCAAGAAATCCAAAGACGACAAAAGAGGAAAAGTAAAAAACATGTTATGTTCATGGATTATGCTTCAGCATCAATATTTTAAAATAAACTATTAAAGAATTGAATCATTTTGTTGAGATACCAAAGCCAGGTCCTTTATTTACATCTGGTGTCGTACATTTGAATTATTTTCCTCATAAACACAGCGTTAGCAATCAATAACTGATCAATCTAAAATACAAATTGAGCTCTGCTTGTCGGAGTTCATTAAGCATCACATAAGTCTTTGTCACGGTGCCCCTTTAAATAATCGTTAGCTTAGTTGATAATAACACAACTTTTAGTGCCATGAATATTTGTCTTGTGCTGATGTTACTGTTTTTGGAAACAGAATTTTGGCCTTTAACAAAATAAACATCACAGAAGTTTGTCATGTCATGGTGGCTCATTAAATAATACGCAGCACTTTGAACAAATAACTCAGATATCTCAGACTGTACGTTGCTTGTTTTTTTTTTTTTAATACAGACCACTCTCAAGTGGTCGGACCTGGTCAGCTAGCTTAACGACAAGTTGCAGTGTAAATGTAGACTGTTATTTCTACCTCAATGACTGATGTAATGCAAGAAAATGAGCTTGAAGCAAATAAAAATTAAACTATTGTGGTCCTTTCTGGGGCTGCAAGGTGGGGCAGTGGTTAGCATCGTTGCCTCGCAGCTAGAAGGTCGGCGGTTCACATCCTAGTGTGCATTACATACCAACGTAATCCAACAGAAAGTACATTTGTAAATGTAAATACAGAGATTTTGAATCAGAGTTTCGACGAAGATATTTCTAGTTACGTCAAAGTCTACGACAACTGGGAGGCGGCTTGCTTTTCAAACATCCTACAGAGCAGCCTGAGACTGAAAATCTAGTAAATTTTAACCACAAGTCTCTGATGAACAAAGCTCTTAGTCTCCACAAAGTCCTTATTGATATGGTCTTTCCTAACCCTCTTCTCCACCACAGCAGCTGCCATTACTTCTGCAAAAACTGTTTAAATGCTCTGCTGGACCAGGATCCAATGGGAAACCTTGCATGAGCAGCATCACGCACAACAATTGAGTCACAACGGCGTTTTAGATATTCTGACTAGTCCAAACTGAATTATTGATATTCTAACTGGTCAGAATGACGCAGATATCTGTATTAAATGTTAAAACAGCTGCTTTTCCCCCCCACAACATCTCACTCATGTTTTTCCTTTGTTACAAAAAAAGACAAACTCCTTCCTCGCACTGGCTTTGAACCTAATTCCTAGAAAGACAGATCTGGATGAAACATGTAGCTGCTCCACTTTCAGCTCCCTCAAACATCGCTGCACCGCCATTGCACCCAACAACACAACAGAAGCTGTCAAAATAAAGAGCAGCAGCCGCTCTGCAAAAATTTCGTTCTTGTGACTTTTTTTTTTTTTTTTCCCTCACGATTGCTCTCAAGGTTGATGACGACGAAGCTGCTGCTGCTGCACGGCGTTTTGTGTGATTTGGAGAACAGAGTGATAGATGGGGAATCTGTCAGTAGTCTGGCTTTTATTTTCTGGCAGGATTTGGCAGCTGTGACGCAGGATGTGTGTGGTTGTTCGATTGAAGCGCTGAAGCTCCCAGCATATGCTTCTCAGTGCTTGGATCAGGCCTGATTTTGCTATGTGTGGGCCGGTCTAACTCCTGGAAAGCAGCGGAGGTACAGGGCGGACGTAAATTTGACCTAATTTTGCTGTTTTCGCCAAAAAACACATGATTTTGGCCTGTAGGGATGGCGTCTTAGTCGATGCTGGTTTGTCTTAAACCCGAAGGTCATTAGGCATCACAATGCTTGCCTTCTGTGGTTGCTACAGTATTAAACAGTAAGAAACCACCTGGTGGAACAATCAGGTACTACAGCAGGTACAATGAAATGGTGTCAGACGTCAACAAAAAATGTCCCTATCTGCAATATATATGGGGTCTAGCCATTAAAACAGTTTGCTACAACAGTGAGACGTCCCGGTTAGGACGCCAAGGATCTATCTGTGTGGAGTTTGCATGTTCTCCCCGTGTAGTGTGGGTTCTCTCCGGGTTCTCCGGGTTCCTCCCACACAGTCCAAAAACATGTTGAGGTTAATTGGTGATTCTAAATTGTCTGTAGGTGTGAATATGACTATGCTTGTTCGTCTCAAAGTGTAGCCCTGTGATAGACCCTAATGAGGATTAAGCAGTGTGTAGATAATGGATGGATGGATGGATGTTCATTTAGGTTTAGCAGGTACAGGGCAGACATAAATTTGAAGTAATTCTTCTGTTTTCGGCAAAAAACACATAATTTTGGCCTGTTACGTATGTGACTTGGCTGTAGGGATGGCATCTTAGTCGATCCTGGTTTGTCTTAAACCCGGAGGTCATTACATATCACATACATCTTTGTAATGGTGCCCCTTAGCTAATCCCCCACAATGCTTGCCTTCTCTGGTTGTTATCGTCTTAAACAGTAAGAAACTCCACCTGGTGGAACAATCAGGTACTACAGCTATTCTACAATGAAATGGTATCCGATGTCAACAAAAAATGTCCCTATCTGCAATATATATCAAGTCTATCCATTAAACAGTTTGCCATAAGAGTGAGACCAGTATTCTTAGATTTAACTTTGGTTGTTCATTTAGGCACCAAAATTGTTAAATTTAGAAAAAACATCACACTCTGATTAACAATCACAACAATAACTACTGTTAGAATCTTGGTTAGGCATCAAAGTAATTGGTTTCGGTTTAGGAAATCATCACATTTTGGGTTCAAATATCACCCTTTCACTACGTGTTTAAAGTTCTGTTTTATTCTCACGGTTGCTCTCAAGGTTGATGACGACGAGGCTGCTGTTGCACAGCGTTTTGTGTGATTTGCAGAACAGACTGATAGATGGGGAATCTGTCAGTTGCCTGGGCTTTTATTTTCTGGCAGGATGTGTGGTTGGTTTGTTGGTTGAGGCCCTGAAGCTCCCAGCATATGCTTCTCAGCGCTGGGATCAGGCCTGATTCTGCTATGTGTGGGCCGGTCTGACACAGGACGGACGCAGCCCGAAGACACGTGGGCAGCAGACAACACGCACATTCAAACAGGAAAAAGAAAAAGCACGGAGAGGCTTCTGTTGGCAGGGCTATCAGAGGAAAAAGCTGGGCTTGCAGGGAGGCCAGTTATCAGCTGATAGTGCTTCCCCACCTCTCTGTGACTCCCCAGGCAGCTTATTAAATCAGGGCCTGGCTGTTTGCCTCTTTGGATGATAACGCTGCCACGGAAGCCTGAATCTACGCGAACGAAGGAGTGTGTGTGTGT